CGCCACGAGAGGCTAACGACACGTTGTTGTCTTGATCTTGTTCTGATTCGCCAGCGGAAGAGAAAGATTTAGATACGAGGAGAGAAGAGAGTGAGATAAAAGGACGTGGAAGAGGTAAAGAAGAGGAGGTCGACGGGAAGAAGAAGGAAGGGAAGCGACGCTCGTCATGGTGATTGGATTTACGGGTTGATACAGACACGGAAAAGGGTCTGAGGAACAGACAAACTGGAGATGCTGGTTTGGTTTGTCGGAGAAGATGGTGGATCAAGTAAGTCAAAGTCGGTGACGTAACAGTTGCCATTGCAGCCATCGCCGGTCTCTTCTTCTGCTACCTGGGATTTATGAGGGTTAATACCATATTGATCAAATAATATCTTTTCACTTTTGATGAATGAAGCACAAAGGGTGTTTGGTCTAGAGGTATGATTCTCGCTTCGGGTGCGAGAGGTCCCGAGTTCGATTCTCGGAACACCCCTGCTAATCTCATTTTGCTTCATTATTTTCACAAACGCCGTTTATTCGTTTTTTTGTAACGTTTACATCAACACACAACAGCAAAAACTGCATGAAAAGTTTGTTCGGTAACAAAACAGCTTCAGTACAGTGCTGTACATACAACAATGCGCAAGAGCATTAGCATCCTCTCGTCTTAAAAATGTTTTCTTTTCACAAGCATTTGTCTAGGCAAGAGCAGAAAAGATCCTCTGATCTCGAATATGTGCTCTGTTTCACAATCATTTGTTTTGTTTTGCGCCCTTCAACGCAAGAAGAGAAGCTCCATAGGAAGCTTCCGTATGGACGGCTTTTTGCACAGGTAAACCCAGAACTCGCTGCCTTATCTTTATCCACTTGTCGTTCTTGGCCCCGCCTCCTGCTGTCATCACTTTCTCGGCCTCCGTTGCTCCCATCTCTTTCAACAACTTGTAGCCTTTCCCCTGTAAGCGTTGCATCCAACATCATGACGAGTCACTGTTAGATACTTCTCATGTGTAAACCGAACTAACTTGGTTGCTAATTCAGCTATAACCTCTCCCACAAGCTCTATCTGTAACTAACAACTAAATCAAGCCCGAAACTTCTGGAAGCACAGGGACTGAGAAATATGAAACCGGATGCAATGTAAGAGGCTTGCTCAGATTCGGTACTGATGTGGAGTAGTTTCAGAATCATTTTATTCTGACTGTTGCCATGAGTCATGTGAAACTCGGTAGCAACCGTTTAGAAATGATTGTTCGTACCTCAATACGTGCGATTGATTCCAAGATACCATGCAAGTATTCAACGTCGCTTTCTGGGCGTGGAAGTAATCTGCAATATGTAAACAATGTTCTTTTTAAGTGAATCTACATAGAGGGGCTTTACATGCTCTGAGGGAAGTTTGATTTAAAGTTAAATTTACAGAGAGAGTTGTGAGAAAATGAGAAAGGCAAACAAACCTGGGAGCCAAGTTGGGATCAGCTACTGGAAATCTTTCACCGCTGCTTAGCAAAGGATAGTAATCTAGAGGAGATGCGACCATAGGATTGATTTCTTGGCTCAGTCTCTCTAACTGTTTGTCACTAAAGAGCTGTCTGAGAATGGCTCCACCAGTGTTGGAAGCTCCTCCAACCAACCATTTGTCATCCAGGCGGTGACTGTAGACTCCATACCTTGCATCATCGACCCTTCTGGTGCTGAGAAGTTTGATGGCTAAGGTCGAACCCAGTGAAGTTACCTTTGGAAAAGAATTATAAATAAGTGATTGTTTTATGTGGGAAGTATGAACATGCTAGAGACATTTGTACTGACTTGATATGATACGAACACCAAAATGTACCACACAGTTCTCATATAGAAGGGTTAAGAGTGTAGCTGAAAGATAAATAGCATTCAAAAAGTATTTCAGAGTTCTCACTGCTTTCCCAGGTTCAGTCGCACGGGCTGCCAGAAACGCAGCTATGCTATCAGTGGTACCGGTGCAGACTATGCAATCATCTGGAAATCCTGGTCAAGCCAAAAGGAAAATTGAAACTTCATGTTGCTCGTCGTAGGTTTTTTTTTGTTGGATTGGATGCAAGAAAAATTTACCGAATTGCTTTCTAATGCTTTCTTTCAGATTGCCTATTGACGTTCCAGGAGCTTGCACCGAAGGTAGTAACTGAGAATAAGGTTGACTAAGCAACCAAGATGGATATGATTCACTCTCAGGATCATAGCCCACCTGCACTCAAATCCAAAATAGAAAAGCACTTCTGAGCTACATTTTATTGTAAAAATTTGATATTTTTTTTATGTTTAGGAGTACACATCACGTCGTTACCTTCAATGCATTATTGTAATCTGACACTCCAAGTCTGCCATGAAGCAACCACAACAACCAATCTGCCTGATGCAGCAATACCGCTGATTCTCTGTTCGGAATATTAAGATTCCACCATGAGACGAGTTTGCACAAGGTAGAGGAACCAGAGCAGACTGTGTGGTTTGCTGGCGCTATAGACTTAACCTCTGGCAGAGCATCAGGGCAGCTCTGGTTGTAGAGAAAAGGCTGACATAGAACTTCTCCACTCTCACTGATAGACATCAATTAAATAAGCAAAGGGGATTAAACAGCATTTTCAAGATTTCATATTCCTATGATGATGAAGCTACCAGAAAATTTAGGGGGAGACTGAAAATCAAACCCTCTAAAGGGATCCAATGAATCACATGCCTGTCTAAGATGAGAGTTGTTGCAGAAGTTCCATCAAGCGAAATGGATGAGACGAGGGAGCGAACGGTGATGGGAATGTCCTCTAGCAATGAAAAAAGAGTTGCTTTCCATGAGCTTGCCCAATCCATGCTTTCTTCTCTCTATCTAGATGACAAAACAAACGTCTCAGTCAATAAATTCGAGGACCATAGCTTCTTCTTAAAACTTTTCACAAAGTAGCTCATAATGTGTAGATGAAATGTGTAGAATAAGTGCTCGTTCGATATAAGCAAGACCAGAAATCAAGCCCAAACACATTCACTCACCCAAAAAAAAAAAACCAAAGAACCACCAGTCAAGCGAATTACTCTTGCATATAGCTTTAGGGTTTCATAAAGAAAGAATCTGAGTATAATGAGATATTTCTTTTACCATGAAACGAGGATATTCTCTTTTTCCTTCTGCTCTAATGTCTCCTTGATCATTGATAACTGTAAATCGAGCTCCCGAAGTACCAAAATCCATACCCAGATAAAGTTTTTCTAAGTTCGGTCCTCCATTGCCACTCATATCAGCCATAACTCTGCCCAGATTACTGTAAAACCTATTTCTGGGTAGAGGGAGACTTCTTCTTGAATTAGAACAACCTGAAATTAACATTATCATGATTCATCATCTCTTAGATACTTACCGAAAATCCATCAAAACCAATTTCCTCCGAAAAGCAATCACTGTACTCACTCAGAAAACATATTCTTCGCGGGGACTGTTGTTTCGGGACTTGGAAAAGCTCAAACGAAGAAATCTGAAATTGACGGAGCATCGGCATCTCTTTCTCTCCTTGGTTTCTGAGGCTGCTTTCTTCTTCAAACTCCATAGATAAGGAACTTGCTTGCGATAATCAACAAACCAAAACACCGGAAACTCGTGACCGTTGGATTGCTTGATTTTTGTAACGACGATTTTTTTTTCTCTTGTAAGTATTTTACCATATTTTCTTTTGGGCAATTTCAATACTAAAAATAAATAGTATTTTCTTTTTTAACAACTCCACTCATTTCATTTCAACCAAAGAGTTAGTTGGGCTGCACGTTCTCTTAGGCCCCTAGTGGTCATCGAGCGGTTCAGATGATGCGTGCGGTTTTCGTTTTCCATATTCAGAAATGGACAATGGTAGGCCCACTTTAGCTTCGGCCCAAGGCTAATAATCATCACATCATCTCTACTCTTGCACCATTTTTTATACATTAATTTTTAAAAATTCTTATTGGCATATAATATCCGTTTTGATATAAAGTTATATATTGGTATAACGTGTTTACATAGATATGAAATTCAAAATTTAGATTACTATTTTTTCCATGGATTATTGTTTAGACTTTTTTTTTTTTTTGAAAAAATTAAAAAAATACTCTGCTCCCGATTATTGTTTAAAATTTTTCATAAGTTTTAAGGGTGCAAATGGTTTACAAAGATGTAATAAATAAAATTATATGGGTGGAAAAATTGATGAGTGGAATAAGGAAGTTAAAAGCAAAACTTTGTTCCATTCGCTACTCTTTTATTTTATAGAAAAATATTTTTCACCAA